GGGTAAAGGAGAAACATCATTTCATCATGGTTGACGGTAGGAGTGATTATCGCTATGGGATTAGAGGTAACATCAACCCTTCATCATTGTCTACCGCGAGCCGTAGCAAAACTCTGAACTTCGCACACACGCTCTCCAGCGGAGGATCCCATTTCCCCCGGTCTAGATTGAACTACCATGAACCGTTATCCCTCCTACTGATGCACATATAAAAAGCCTGATATAGGCGCTCGGGTTTGGTAAATCGAATCTATTGCATAGACGAATATAGTCAAAAACTGATGAAATCTACTTTATTCCTCTCCGGAAATCTCCACCGCCTCGGCGGTGATTTGCTCCATCTCATTGAGGGCTTCATCTACCAACACCCGGTCGGGAAGTGATATCATGTGTTGTAGACACAGAGCGCAATTTCCGCAATTGCCCATATATTTGAGGACGGACTTTTGGAACTGATCCATGTTGGCATCGGCTGGGATCTTGACCTGACCAAGGTTGACGGCCAAAACGTAAACGAACCGCGCTTTGCCTTTGCCAGCTTTCCATGACATCAACTTGAGATAATTTTGGAATCCAGAAACTTCGACAACCACTTTAGCTTTCGATACTGCCGAAATTGAAGAACAACGTCTCGATACCGTTCAGGGTCTTCACGACTACAGGCTGAAGGCGCGGACACACTCGGTCCATCGGGACGGATGATCTTACCAGCGACGCGTCGTCATCTTCGTGAGAAGCCCGCACTTACAGAGTTACAATTCGCTCCCCGGGAACGCACGGGAAAGAGACGAGCGCGGCCGAAGGCCGCGCTCCAGACGCCTGGTTGGTTCATAGTAGCTGAAGTATGCAATATTATTGATGATGTCTTCATGTGCTACATTTCGGGTGAAGATGAGATCAAGGCAGGTGTTACTGTTGGTCGTTGATAGACTCTGATCTGTGATCAGATTGACATTAAATTGTGTTGACATGAAACTGATCAATTGATTTCTTTGGTTTGGTTTGTTCATGTTCCAATTGAGATCGCCGCAGATGATCAATGGGGTTTTTCTGACGCGATCGCTCTCGGAGTCGAATGCGCGTTTGTTTTCAATGAATAAGGCTTCGATTTTCGAGAAGTTTGATCCTGGACTGATATAGATGCAGACAATCGTTGTCATGTGATTATTGATTTGGAGGCGAGCGAAACAAAGATCTCCGCAATCGTTGTGCGTTGAGATTGGCTGACGGAGTGATTCGCTGGTTCCGGGCGAGTCCATTCGGTCGTAAATGGCGACGCCACCTGCTCTCTGTGGTCTCTTGTTTCGAGATTGCAATCGTGAATTAACCATCGGATGTTGATGCTCATTTCCACACCAAGTTGCTGTGAAACAAAATATTGTGGCTTTCATGAGCAGCGAATCTGATGAAATGTCGAGTGCGTGGGCCTGTAGGCTTTGCAAGTTCAAGTTTAGAAAGATATGAGTTTTTCCTTCGAGTTTCTGTAAAGTTTGATGGTCTGTTGTTTGGAATTTGTATTTTTCGAGGCGCTGGAGTTCGTCTCGTAATTTTCGCAACCTGGGTGAAACGACAGGCTTGGTATGATAAAAATGCAAGTCGTTCTTGGAGTTCGTTATGAACAGACTCGCAGCGAACTGCCCCCACTATTTTCATTTTGATAGAAGAATGAACGCATTCGGGAGCTTCTTTTCGGGAGCGGGCGGTAGTAGGAAGCGGCGAGAAGGTCTCTTTTCCGGATGTCGAGCCCGCTGAATTGGCGGGGAACGACTTACGGCTCCCGATTGCTAACGCCATGGTGAGGCAGACCCCGGCGCGACCCGTGGCCTGCAGGCTTAGTTTGGGCCAGGATAACTCATCCGAGTCCTTCAGGTAGAATCCCCAGCCCACGGAGGCGACACCAACGAATCTGCAAGAAGCTCACCGGAACGTTCCGGGTCTAATTGGCCCTTGGGAAATTCCCATTCCTCGCGACCTGGGGGCTCGGACTATTTGGAGAATTTTCTGAGTTTAATCCGAGCAAGAAGCTCCGTGACGACAATAAATTACATCTTGGCAGTGAAGCAGCTCTACGATTTATTGCTGAGCACCGTATCATAAGCATTCGGCATGATCATAGATTGTGCGATCTCGTATATCATCATTTCGCGATAGTATGGCATGTCTTCTTGTGTGAAATCGATTTTTGCGTCTCTCGCCGCATAGTCCGCGTATTTAAGGGCGAACACACCGCAGTCAGATCCATTTTGCTGGAGGGGAATATCCTGTTCATTGCTCAGCCGCCACTGATCGAAATTCAATTCGCTCTTTTTCTTGTGTGATATCTCGTCGGCCAGATAATCCCGCAGCATCTCGAGGCAATCATCGTTCCTGTTCCCTTGAGAATCCATATATTTGATCATTTTCTGCCGCATATCTATGATGGCCATGGCCCAGTGATTAGTTCTGTGTACCGGCACCAGAACGATGTCCTGCGCGAATATATCGTCACGACGCGTCCATTTGGAAACATCGGCGTAGCCATGCTTGCTGTAGCATTCGAGGAAGAAAGTGTTGAATGAGTACACTCTCGGTAAACGTGGGTCATCCCTACTTCGGTTGACTATTAAGTTCAAGTACACGTTAATTACGACATCGTTCAACCAATTGAGTCCGATGAGACTTCTCAGATCCTCGGAAGAAACCGCGATCCTGGATATGCTGACATCTCCGAGAGCTTTGCTCGGTTTCTCGAACACGTCTTTTATGATCATTCTCATCTCATATGTGATAGGCGGAAATCGATTATGAGACTGTTCATACCGAACAGTGTTAGCCCCTCCGAATCGTTTCGGATGTTTCGCATAACTATGGTCCCTCAAAAAATCGAAATCGGCGCTCCCGTGGTCATCGTGGCAAGGCTCTTCGTCGTGCTCAGAGAAACCGTCCTCTTCAGACAAATCGCAGCATGAGTCGCCAGATTGTGTAGCGTCGTCGCCTCTAGGTTGATAGTCGCCCTTATCAAGGTTTTTTTCGCTCTGCTCCTTCAGCCACGCCTTCGGTATCGGATCCCCAGTCCGACCCTCTTTTCTGAGTGTTAGTAGATGGTTTCTCTTCCCCGCCTTGAACTTGACTCGATCTATAAATTCTACAGCAGTGATGTTTCCGCTTGCCAAGAGTTCCCACGACGAATTCACTCTGAGTTTATTCTCTTTGGTTGGTTTGCTCGGCCTTGAAAGTATGTATTCGACACCCCTCTCGTGAATCATCTTGTTGACCGCCGTGTCTTGAGCAAATTCGGTAATAGTAGCCAAGAGCTTCCAGACTGGACCGTTACGGCCCGCCCTCCGTAATAGCTTGCCATTGTTGGCTTCTACGTCGTTATTCGTTCGCTGTTGCAAGCCGAATACAGAGAGATCATGAGGGCCAATCGTGCGCAGCCAATGAGAAGCGACGTACTCGAGGAATGGCGGAAATCCGACGTGCAGGTCCATGGCTCTAGCCGCGAGAGCTTCAAAAGTAGGATTGATCAGCTCTGGTGGAAGCAGGGGAAGAGCCGTGAAGGCCAAGAAGTTAGAGAGGATGGCTCCTGGCTTCAAGATACCTCCGCCCAGACCTAACGATTTCGCTTTCTTCAGAAGACTTTGGGAGTAATGAAAATGGCAGCCAAATAAGTGAATATCGCTGAATTCCGAACGAACGGCTTTCCGCATGGCGCAATCCCAGTCCCCCATGTACGCCTCAACGGTCAGATAGGGTGCGGCTTGTTTCAACTGTTGAAGAACCCATCGGTAGGCTTCGACATCGGCTCGGTTCATCAGAGCACAAGCCACCATGCCGACGTGTCCGCCCCAATTGCCATGAATCGTGAAGATCTGCTTGCAGAGTTCCCGCGGGCGAATTTTATATGTCGCATCGGCATGAATTAATTTCGCTTCGCTCAGCAGCCGCAGCAGAGTCCTGGTTGTTACAAGGAGGGTGTTATGCACCGGATTGTAGGAGCTGAGGAGCCTTTCTCCGTCTTCGGTCACGTTGAAGCGCGGGTGGCTCTTGGTGCTCAGCTCCTGGTAGAGCTTGAGGAGACTTTCCGGTCGCGGTGGTCTGACCTTGCCTGCGTGGTGACGACAGGTGCGATAATGTTCCACCGGAACGATTCTCGACGCGGCTTCCCGAGGAAGTTTTCGACGTTGCTCTATGATTGCTTCCGAAGGATTTTTCCGTGGATTTCCTCTTATATCTTTGATCCACTCGGTACGCGCGTGTCTGAACTCTATGCCAAACCCAGCTTCATCGGGAAGATGATTGTGCAGACCCTTGAGCTCCACAACCTCTCCAGTTTGTCTGATTTTTGCGATGACAGGACATGCATTAGCTCTGTATGATTTGCACACCAACGAGATGATGCTCCTATCTCGTGTGGTGCGTTTCACGTGGAAAAAGGATGGAGCTCGACCTTCAAAATGATTGATACCTCGGACAACGTGATAGCCGGCGAGGTCGGTCCATGG